TCACCCTTCTGACCTTTCATTTTGGCTTCCTCATCTCCCCCAGTCCTCTTGTATCAGCTCCTTTAAAGGAGCCCTGAAAATATAATCCAGTAGGGCAGTGGTGGCGCACTCCTTTAATTCCAGCACTGGGGAGGCCGAGACAGGCAGATCTCTGTGAGTTCAAGCCAGCCTGGTCTACAGAGTGGGTTCCAGGCTCCAAAGCTACAGAGAAACCCTATCTTGAAAAGCACCCCCCCCAAAAAAAAGGAAAAATAAAAGAAAGAAAATATAATCCAAGGAGTCACTCAATTCGAGATTATTCTGGAGCAAAACTGTCAAGAAAATCACAGTTACCTTACAACATGGTGTTTGAAACTTAATGTTGCTTTCTTTCAACAGTATGAAAAGGCAAAGAGAACCTACATGCAAGCCTGCAAGAGAGCCCCTTCATGCCTGACCTGGCTAGGACTAGGAATTGCCTGTTACAGGGTAAGAAAACAGAGTCTGAATACCAGGCCCTGATTCCTTGGTCCTCCGAGCATATTGTGGGGGGTTGTAATGATGGTGGAATGGCAGTCTGCTCTAATGAAAAAAACTTTTTCAAAATTACCCATAAGGCCAGGCGGTGGTGGTATATGCCTTTTAAGCCAGGACTCAGGAGGCAGAGGCAGGCGGATTTCTGTGAATTCAAGGCCAGCCTGGTCTACAGAGCTAGTTCCAGGATAGTCAGGGCTGTTACACAGAGAAACACTGTCTCGATAAAACAACAACAAAAAAAAAAAAAAGGAAAAAAGGAAGGAAGGAAGGAAGGAAGAAAGGAAGAAGGAAGGAAAGAGCATTGCCTGCTCGTTCAGAGGACCTGGTTTCAATTCCTGGCACCCACATGGCAGCCCAATGTCTGTAAGCACAAGTCCAGGGGATCCAATGAATGCAGACAAAATACCAATGCACATAAAATAAAATTAAACAAAATGAAAAAAAAAGAAAAATCTTAGGCAAACCTAGCCTGAGAAATCTGAGATATAAATAGACCGAAGTGAGCTCACAGGGCTACACAACCAGTTACGGAGTCAATGTTATTCTTTTAGCTTTTTATCATGGACAGTTTAAAATGTTGTCTGTAAAGAGAAAAAAAATGCCTTCTACTCTACCCTGCTTTAGCCATCATTAACTTAAGGTCGCCGTTGTCTTCATCCTTGACATTTCTTTCCTCTGCAGTCTTTCAAAGCACCTGTGAGACATGGCACAGTTCATCTGCAAATCTGCTAACATGGTCAGCAGACTCTAAGTCCCATCCTGTCCAGTGCCAGGGATGGGATTCTCATGTACCTAGGGTGGCCTCAAACTCACAGTTTAGCCAAAAATATCCTTCAACTCCTCATCTTTTCCCCTTACCTAACCAGTCCTGGGGTTGTAGACAGATGTTTTCCATCAAGGCCGTGAGGCTGCTGATGTCTATCATATTCAGAGTCCCTGCCTTGAGGCTGGGACAGCCCTTCCATCATTCAGGAGGTAAAAGTGGAGGCAGAGGAAAGTAGTTGTTTATGGGGTGAAGGCCAGCCAGGGCTGCAGAGAGACCTTGTCTCAGAAAAATAAAAAGAGTTTTATATGCATGATGTACTCAGTCACGCCCCATACCTTTGTAGTTAGTCCCTTTAGCTCTCCTGACCTTGTGTGTCTAACAAACTTCATGGTTCCTCTCTGAGGCTATCCTTTGGTGTTAGGGTAGATCCAATGCTGTTTCTCTTTGTTCTACTTCTAGATCGCAGGTGTGCTTTTACTATAGAAATATTTATTTTTATTTTGTAATGGAACTGTTTTATGTTTTTTTATTTTTCATCATGTTTTGCTTTTTTGTTGTTTTTTAATGTGTCTACCAGTGAGGTCTTTGACGGTAGGGTGCGGTATACCTGCGCACGTATTTTCTTATCAGCATCAAGTATACAAATGTGGAGTGACTGAATAATCAATACCCGAAAGCCCTGATGAGCAGGTCAAACATGGCCATGATTGAAAGGCTACTAACCCTTCATCTTTTCTTGGGCTTAGAAACTCTCTCTGTCTCTCTTTGTGTGTGCTTTGTTTTTCAAGTCAAGGCTTCTCTGTGCAGTCCTGGTTTTCCTAGAACTCGCTCTGTAAACCAGGCTGGCCTTAAATTCAGAAATTCTCCTCAAGCCAGGCAGTGGTGGCGTAAGCCTTTAATCCCAGCACTTGGGAGGCAGAAGCAGGCGGATCTCTGTGAGTTCAAGACCAGCCTGGTCTACAAGAGCTAGTTCCAGGACAGGCTCCAAAACCACAGAGAAACCCTGTCTCGAAAAAGCAAAAAAAAAAAAAAAAAAGAAATTAGCCTGCTTCTGCCTTCTGAGTGCACCACTGCTGCCCGGCTTTCAAAACTGGAAAAAAAATCTAGGCCTGGTGGCTCATGCCTATAATCCCAATGCCTGGTCAGCTGAGTAGGATAGTTTCAGTTTCAAGGCCAGTCCTGCTGAGAGTCTCTACACAGGAAGGCCCAGTCTCTAAATAAATAATTTTAAAACAAAATAGATAAAAAAAGAAGTTACTTTATCACGGGGAGGAGAGAGATATATATCTACCATATATCCATTCACAAATAATACCTATTAATAGTTACGAAATTATATAAGAACATGTAAAATATATGCTGCATGTGACCCCAGGGTTTTGAGGTTTTGTTTGGAAGAGCACTGGTATAGGTCATGGACATCTTAAGTGAAAAGCACTCTGGACTGTGTCTCTTCTCTCTCCCTCTCCCTCCGCCAAGCTGGAGGAGCTCACCGAGGCTGAGGACGCTCTCTCCGAAGCCAATGCACTGAATAACTACAATGCTGAAGTATGGGCTTATCTGGCTCTGGTCTGTCTGAAGGTAAAGTGTTTCTTATGGTCCCTTCACAAAGCCCTTTCAGGGAACAGGCAAGGGCCCAACTAAGAAAGGTAAGATGGCTGTTAACACGTAATAACCCAAGTTTGATCAGCTCTAGATTTGGTCATTGTACTGATGACAATGGAAATGTCAGTCTTAGGCAGTCGCTCCTTGAAAAGATTATGCTTAGTAATCATTAACTCACATGTTCTGTGTGTTTCTTTCAGGTTGGACGACAGCTGGAAGCTGAGCAGGCCTACAAGTACACAATAAAGGTATGCGGCAGAGGGCTGTAAGACCCAGAATGTAGATTGTGAGCACTCAGTGCTTGATGGATTTCCGCCGAGGGAAACACACACCCATGAAAACAACACAACATTCTAAGTCTTTAAGGGAGCTCCCATGGTATTGAGAATATCGGAAAAGCCCATTTTATCCCTTCAAATTTGGAGCCTCACAAATTAGGGTTCTTCAAAGCTTCATGGTGTTCGAGTTAGCTGCTGTTTCCCCGTCTTGTTTCTGCAGCTGAAACTGAAAGATGAGGCTCTGCTTACAGAAATCCACACCGTTCAGGAAATGGTTGGGTTTGGAAATCCATCTTTCTGACATCCTTAAAAATGGATATTCAATATGGAACCACAGCATCTCACCTTCCTTCCCAAATTGTCACGACAATGTGAAAACAAAATAAGAAACTTCCAAATTGTCACGACATGAAACCTGACCTCTTCCCCCCTTAGCTGTTAACTATAAATCAGATCACAATTAAAAAGGAAAAATCAAATTTATCAGTGTTGTTTTTTGAGTCTTATATATTTCATGTTTATACAATTATGTAACTAACTAATAAATATATTTTGTGAGTAGCTATATGGCATAATGGTGTGACTATTACAATTTCTGATGAAGCTTATCATCAATTGCCAAGGTTCTTGACTAGCTTCAGTTACTGCGACTTGGCAATGAAGGCATCATCTTCAAAGGTGAGCTTAGAACACTGTCATCTACATCACTGGGTAAGGGAGCAGAGGATATTCTTGAGGCTAAGCCTTTTGGGAGAGCTGAAAGAAGGGTCTTTAAGACAGACATACTAATTTCTTTAAATCAACCAGTATCTTCATGGATGTAAATCAGGAGTGGCTTTTACACACCATTGTGATCAGAGTTGCAAAATTCACTAGTGAAGCCATAATTCTAGGTCTTGAGAGGACAAAGAAATCATACCCTTAATTTCTTAGAACATGTTGCAGTAAAGGGGGGAAATGAACGCCCTCTCCCCCTTTATTTACTTAGTTGTTTTGTATTTATTTCGAGGCAGGGGTTCTCTGTGCAACAGTCCTGGCTGTCCTGGAACTAGATCTGTAGAACAGAGCTGGTCTTGAACTCATGAGATCCGCCTGCCTCTGCCTTCCCAATGGCGTGCGCCACCACCGCCCGACTCCCCATCCACCCACCTTATTTTTTTTTTTTTTATTTTCGAGACAGGGTTTCTCTGTAGCTTTTTGTTTTTTTGTTTTGTTTTGGCTCCCCGTCGGGGAATCGAACCCCAGTCTCCCGCGTGACAGGCGTCTCTGTAGCTTTTTGGTTCCTGTCCTGGAACTAGCTCTTCTAGACCAGGCTGGCCTCAAACTCCCAGAGATCCGCTTGCCTCTGCCTCCCAAGTGCTGGGATTAAAGGCGTGTGCCACCACCGCCCGGCTCTCCACCTTATTTTTTAATGGAGCGATTTCTTCTGTGAGGGTAGGAGAATACAAGGGAAAGTGAGAGTCATATTAATAAACAGAATAAATTATTTTTGATCCTGCTCCTCGCTCAGTCCTTTATGAAGTCTTCCTGAGGAAAGGGAAGCCAATTTCGTCCCCTGCTGTGTCCGGACCGCCCGGGCTCTCCGGTGGGACCCCACCTGCCCACCAGGCCATCACCAGCGCCTGCCGCCCTAACCAGGGTGGGAATCGTTGCAGGATCCCTGCAGACCGGACCCGCAGTCTCGGAATACTCACCCCCACTGCCGCAGGGAATCATGCCAATGACAGCCCCAGGAGCCGCTCCACGCCTCCAAACACAGCTTTTCCGCGTCATTTACGGAAGTCGGGTCTCTGGGTCGCCTTGTTGTCTTCCGGTAGACGCAGAAAGAGAAAACGGAAGAGGTGGGGCGAGCGGCCAAGCGCTTCCGCAGTGGGCTTTCCGGAGACTGACGGTGCGTGCGAGGACGCCTAGGGCGCTCCTCCAGGCTTCAGGCTCTGTGCGGCTGGTCTGTGCGGGGTCACGCGTCGCTGCGCCATGGTCCACCTTAGTGAGTGCGCGGGGCTTTGGGGCACGTGCGGGAATCGGGGACCCGGGCTAGGAGCGGCAGTATCGCCTCAGTCCACTTTGTTTTTAGACACTGTGTAGCACTGGCTAGCCTAAAACTCACTAGGTAAAGACAGGCTGGCTTCGAACTCATAGACAGCAAGCTCATAGTTTGTCTCTGCCTCCAAATGCGTTGTGCTTAAAGGCGTGCTCTCTTCTCAGTTTTCCCCAAAAAATCGTCGTAGTAGTCGTTTTGCAGATGGGGCAGCTAAGGGTACAAGGTCGCAACCTAGTAAATGGCAGGTCTGTATTGCCCGCGTTTGGGGAAAAGGAGGTATGTCCGAGATGGAATGTTGAAGGGGAAAAGTTTTACAGATAAATTGGTACCCAAGCCGGACGGAATAGATTGGAAGTGAGAACATTGCAGAAAGAGGAATTGGGCCTTCACCGTATATGACCTATTTCGTGTCTGCTGTTTTTGCGTCCTAACCAGTTATTTCTCTACAGCAACCTTTCTCTGCAAAGCGTACCGTGGGGGCCACCTAACCATCCGCCTCGCCTTGGGTGGCTGCACCAACCGGCCCTTTTACCGCATCGTGGCTGCTCACAACAAGTGTCCCAGGGATGGCCGCTTCGTGGAGCAGCTGGGCTCCTTCGATCCGCTGCCCAACAGTAACGGAGAAAAACTGGTTGCCCTCAACCTGAACCGGATCCGATATTGGATTGGCTGTGGGGCTCACCTCTCTAAGCCTATGGAGAAACTTCTGGGTAAAACATCTCTGAGCTTAGATAATTTAAGAGGTTTTTATACCGGAGTCAGTTCTAGGATAATAGAAACAAAGGATGATTTTCACTCCATCCATGCTGCTCCGGATAGGAGGAAGGTGTGGTGATGTAATTGCCAGTTTTTTGGAACACTTGGAGTGACTGGGATGTTGTGGGGGTAAAAATGGAGCTAGTGTATCTTAGGCACCTGTCTGTCAGTTTCCTTTTTTCCCTTTAAAGTAAGGAGAGCAGTGTTAGGAAGCAGACAGTGAGCTTGGCCCATTTCTTGTCTGGGCCGTGGGTCAGGCGTTGCATCTCATTCCTGGGAAGCCTTGGCATGTGCAATATTACAGAGAAAATCCTGCTGCTTTTAGGTCTTTCTGGCTTTTACCCCCTGCATCCAATGATGATCACAAATGCTGAGAGACTTCGGAGGAAGAGAGCTCAAGAAGCCCTCTTAGCATCGCAGAAAACAGAATCGGAGCCTGGAGAAACAGAAGCAAGCTGATGTCAGTGCACACAGTTATGGCTGCAAGGCCAAGGGGCCTTCACAACTCTTGCGCAGAGCTTTCTGTTGGGTTTGAGGATCAATAAATGGAGGTTTTCAAGTCCCAGTCTTCCAGCATAACCTGAGCAGGAATCAGACAGAGGTTTGTTGTCTGACATTAGAGCTGCTAGGCCTCCTGCCTTACCTGTGAGTCAGTGGGTGTGGGGAGGTTTTGGGATTAGGCCCTGGTCACATTGGGCAGTTTTACAATCTGCTGCCTTTTAGTCCTTTCCTGTGTCAAAGCCCTCAACCAGAATGTGCTTTGCCCATTCAAACGCTTTCTTTAAGACAGGGTCTTGCTCTGCAACCCTGCCTGGTGTGGAGCTTGTTATATGTGATACGTAGACCAGACTTTAGCGTGCAGCCTCTTGACCCTGTCTCCTGAGTGCTGAGATTACAGGTAGAGCTACTATTGCCTGGCCCCAATGCTTTCTTTATCACTTGGGATCATCCCAAAACTCAAGAAGTTACCTTGTTTATTGTTTGAATTAGTGAAGATTTATATTGTTTTCTTGACATATGATCTCAGGTTTACACAGATGGGCTGTAAAAATTGCTTTGGGGTTTTAATAACCTTTTGTTTTGTTTTTGTTTTTTAGAGATAGGTTTTTCTCTCTGTGACAGTTCAGGTTGTCCTGGAACTCAGAGAGATCTGCCTGCCAAATAAATGCTGGGATTAAAGGCGTGCACCGCTACCTTTTAAGAGAGTAGTTAGAAGGAAGCTAATACAAAGCCCCTTCGTATAGTATAGCCAGCTCTGTACTGAGAAATTGCTTGTGTATTCAAGAATTACACCTCTAGTTCAATTATATCCATGTTCACAGATGAGAGAGGCTGTCCCTTAACAGTAGGAAACTTTTATAGACTCCATATGTCCTACAAAGTCTTCCTACATATATTGTTGCCTATATGAGGGCAAAAGTAGTGATAAGGGGGCTTTTCTGTGGAGATGGCTCCAGGGGTAAAAGTGCTTTGCCATGTAGTTCTGAGGTCCTGAATTCAAATCCGTAGAACTCATGTAACAGGAAGTGGAAGAGTCTGCAGTAGCAGCATCCTACAGGAACATGGATGGGAGGGAAAGACAAAGAAATCTCCAGACACAGGCCAGCCGGTGTGCACAGTGGAAAAACAAAGGAGGCCACCCTGTCTCAAGAAAGGTCCAAAGTAGACAGCTGTGGTCTTCCTCTGGCTTCCACACATGTGCTGTGGCAGGCACATACCGCCCTAACTCACACACACACATCATACACAGAAGACAGTCAGTGATAGAAGTGTTGTGCTTAGGCATCCTGAGTTTGGTATGTAAATGAGAGGCCTATGAAATCAAATCTAACATGTGCTTCACCAGAACAATAGAACTCTATAGCTACTAGCATGAATTACTTGTTGAAGGGACACTGGCCTACTCTAGCATGTAGCTCTGGCAGCCTTGCCCTTCTCCCCAGTTCCCTCTACCTTGCTAAAAACCATTAGATTAAATCCCTAAAGTTAGCCACCAGCATTTATTCCTTATTTGACTACTTCCTCCTCCTGAGGCTAACAGGTCCAGCTATCCAAGTGTTAAAAAGTTCAGCAATCAAAAAATCCCTTTGGTTTATCCAACTAACATGCCCAATCAGTATGCACCACGACATCCAAACGCAGACCTGCCGTTTTTTCTCAAGGTCATTTGCTACTGTTTGCTGCCTGAGTCCGGAAGTAGCCACTTTAACTTTTCTTCCCACTTAATAAAGGATCTTTCTGGAAAATAGATGTTTGGGTGTGGGTTTGTGCCTAATCCTGGGTCTGAGAGGGAGCCTCTGCTACGCATGGGGGTGTCTCCTTCACATGATCATTTGTTTTTCACAAGCTGGATAGATAATGTAGGTTTCAAATTTAGAGTAAGGCTAAAGTACTGGAAGGTTCCAAGGCCTGCTCATGCTCTGACTTGTCTTATCTGGGTTCTAGAAACATCTACTAGCAAATGCACTTTCTGAGACTGAGGCTGTCCTATGTGGCTGCTGGTTTTCCTTCACTTGGCATGAGGGGTCTTTGAGAATAGATAGAGAGGGACTGCCTTTAGTTGTCTTTGATTTTTAGATATGAGGAGTGGGAAAAGCTGAGAAAGCACTGAAATGTTTAAAATGAGAGGTTGAGTCAATCTTTTTTTTTTTTTTTTTGGATTTTTCGAGACAGGGATTCTCCGTAGCTTTTGGTTCCTGTCCTGGAACTAGCTCTTGTAGAACAGGCTGGCCTCGAACTCACAGAGATCCGCCTGCCTCTGCCTCCCGAGTGCTGGGATTAAAGGCGTGCACCACCACCACCCAGCGGTTGAGTCAGTCTTATGTCCACCAAAAGTGTCAGGTGACTGGAGCAGGCAAGTAGAATTAATTCTGTGCTGTCTAATAAATATGGTCCTGCCTGGAATATAAAAGGTATTTTTTGTTTTTTCAAGGATGGTTTCTCAGTAACAGCTCTGGCTGCCATGGAACTGGCCCTGTAGACCAGGCTGACCTCAAATTCACAGAGCCGGTGTGTGCCACCACTGCCTGACTGATAAAAAGTCCTTAAAACTTGCTTTGTGCGTTTGGTTTGACACAGGCTTTCTCCCGTGTCAAGGATTGAGGGATTCATCTCAGGTGATGTCATTTGGGCCTGTATCGAGAATCTTAAAAAAAAAAAAAACACATTACTTTAACCTTTGGGTTGAGTATGTTAAATTTCTCAACGCAAATACATGCCCATTCGTATTACATTTACTTATGTGATTTGTGTGTGTGGAGGTCAGAAGACAACTTGTGTTCTGTGCTGGGGGTCATCAGGTATGGCTGAGTATCCTTGCCAGCCCGAGTAACCGCTTTCTACTGGGAAACTGCTAAATGTTTTCATGTGTCATTGAGTGAGCTTCTATGTAAGAATCCTGGAGGCAGATTTCGGGGCAGGAAGGAGTGCTGGCGTGAGAAGCGGGGACGGCTTGCTTCCGCTCCAGGAGACTAGGCGCTCCACGCACGCAGAGCAGTATTTTCGCGGGCGAGATCAAGTCCGCTTTGCGGCTGCCGTAAAGCGCGCTTGCCCCGCCCCCGGTGCGCCGCCTGTGACGCAACGATCAAGGCTTTTTGGGCGGGAAAAAGGCGGTGGGTGGGTAGAGGCCGCGGGGGTGCGGAGCGGCTGTGGACGGAGTTCTTCGGCGTTGGCGGAGCCGTGCTTTCCGGGTCATGGGGCTGCTGGAGCTCTGTGAGCAGGTGTTCGGCACCGCCGACCTCTACCGGGTGCTGGGCGTGCGGCGTGAGGCTTCCGACGGCGAGGTCCGACGCGGCTACCACAAGGTGTCCTTGCAGGTGCACCCCGACCGCGTAGACGAGGAACAGAAAGAGGACGCCACCCGCCGCTTCCAGGTATGTGGGCCCGCGTTCGGGCGGCCACTCGAGCTTCTCCCGCTCCGCGGGACACCATCCCCGGTACAGCGCACTGCTGTTCCCAGGCCTGGAATTTTTAAGCAGTTCTGGCCGCCCAGTGTCAGCGGGAGGTTCAGGGTGACTTTTGGATGCTCTTTGCCTGCAGATCTTGGGAAGAGTCTATGCGATTCTGAGTGACAAGGAGCAGAGAGCAGTGTACGATGAGCAGGGGACTGTGGACGAGGACTCTGGTAGCCTCAACCAGGACCGGGACTGGGATGCGTATTGGAGGTTACTCTTTAAAAAGGTAGCAGGGCTTTGATTAATTACACCGTCCAGTTCATAAGTACAGTTTTCGAACTTAAAGCGATCTTCTTTGTTATTAGATATCGCTAGAAGACATTCAAGCATTTGAAGAGACGTACAAGGGTTCTGAAGAAGAGCTAGCCGATATTAAGCAGGCCTATCTGGACTTCAAGGGCGACATGGATCAAATCATGGAGTCTGTGCTTTGTGTGCAGTACACAGACGAACCCAGGCTAAGGAACATCATTCAACAAGCTATTGATGCCAAGGAGGTCCCATCATACAATGCCTTCGTCAAAGAGTCTAAACAAAAGATGAATGCAAGGAAAAGGAGGGTAAGTCTGAATGCTATTCGTAGCATATCTCAGCTGCTCCAGAAAGGGATCGTGGAGTATTTAAGACGATGGGAATCAGGACTGCTGACATGGGGCTCACCTGCGGCACTCATCTGGCAGGCTTGTCAGATCATGAAGAAAACCCTGGTGTTTGCCTTTTTATCCCCCCGGTATGTTATGCTGAAAATGATTTTACTTTATGGATTGTTTGAAATCACCCTAAAGTGCTTCTGAAACACTTCTCACATGGGGCAGACCTTGTAGCTTTGCTATCTTAGGGAAGGAAATGTTTGGAACTTCGTTACCGTGGCATAGGCTGTGGTCCATTTGTGGTTGGTGGACAGAGAGAAGATGTTGGAGTGTGTTGGTCCTGGTACTTGAGCACTGAGGAGGCTAACGTAAGAGATTGCCGCTTCTGAGGTCAGGCTGGATTGGTTGTCTAGTATGTGGTAGGTCCCAAATTAAGTCTCCAAAATGGCTCAGAAGAGGCGGAGAAAACACAGATTCATTTTTTAAAATTCTGTAGATGCATGTAATTATTAAAAATTGTAAACTAAAGAGCTGGAGAGATGACTGTGGACATACACTGCTCTTACAGAGGCCCAAGTTGATTTCCAGCACCAAAGTCAGGTGCTTCACAACTGTCTATAACTTGGGCTTCTAGGGATTTGACCCCTCTGGTCTGGTCTCTAATCCCTGAGTGGTCTCTCCAGACCCCATCTGCTCTTTTTTAAATTTTTTTTTTTTTTTTTAAAGCACACTTGAAGTAAGTCTTTCTGACCACTCTGAGGAACACTTGACTGCTGAGAGCTGAGGACTGGGACTTGTGATTAAGCCAGGGTTGTTAGAAATGACAGCATAGGAATTCAAGGTAGGGAGCATCTGTGTTTATACTCTTTGGAAAAGTGACCATGGACTGCTATTAAAGCAACAGTTGCTTCATCTTTGCTTTCACAATGAGAGAGCTTCCTGGAGAGCAGGCAATTTAAGATTTTAGGGATCTGGTGGGCACTTGAGTTGTCTTCTGTGTGGTTCAAGTAGGTGGG